ATCAGGCGTTTTCCTGGGTGTAGCTGTTGTCTCTGCTTCTCACGGCCCTCCCTTCCAACCGAGACCTCACCAGTCCTTCTCTCCTGCAGCCCTGGGTGACATGGCCAGCCAGGAGAACGTGGAGAAGCCTCAGGGTGTGGGGGCTCTGTCCATCGTCCTGCCCACTGGTAAGCACGGCCGGTCTCAGCTCACCTGGGCCCTGGCACCCTACAGTGACTTCATTTCCACCTTTGCACCTGGGAAGGAGGTGGCCCTGCCAAGTGTCCTCCCCACCCCTGTGTCCCTGTGGCTGGGGAAACAGCCATGGAAGGTGGAAACCTCTCGCCTCTCCGAGGCTGATGATGACAAAATTGGACAGCGATGGGACAGAGGGGCTGTGGAGCTGGGTCCTGAGCTCCCAGAAAGGCTTCACCGAGGCCCAAGGAAGTCGTGTGAGCCTTCTGACGAATTGGTTCTCTCGTAGGGAGCCCTTTGGGTTGGGTATGGTGGCTCATGTCTGTAATCCCAGCACTATGGTGGGCTGATGTGGGAGGACTGCTTGAGACCAGGGGTTTGTGACTTAGTCTCTACCAAAAGAAATGTAAAAAATTAGCTGGGCGTGGTGGTTTGTGCTACCGGGGAGGCTGAGGCAGAAGGATCACTTGAGTCCAGGAGGTCAAGGTTGCAGTGGGGCATGATCACACCACTGTACTGCAGCCTGGAAAGGAGGATGAGACCTTGTCTTTAATATAAAAGGAGGGAGGCTGCGCGTGGTGGCTCACGCCTGTAATCTCAGCACTTTGGAAGGCAGAGGCGAGAGGAGGGTTTGGGACCAGCCTGGGCAACTTGGCATAATCTCATCTTTAAAAAAATTAGCTGGGCATGGTGGTGTGTGCCTGTAGTTCAGCTACCTGGAAGGCTGAGGTGGAAGGATCTACTGAGCCCAGGGGGTCGAGGCGTCAGTGGCTGTAATTGTGTCACTGCACTCCAGACTGAGCAACAGAGTGAGACTCTTGGCTCAAAGAAAAAAAAAAGGTCAGGCTCAGTGGCTCAGCCTGTAATCCCCTCTCTGGAGGATCCTCTGAGGTGTCCCTTACACCTAGCAGAGACCACTGGCCTGCATTTCAGTGTCCAGCAGTTGTAGCTGCAGGTTGACACATATGGCAGGTGAGACCCTTGCCTCCCTTGGGTCTGCATGGTGACACCCACCCTGGGTCTTTCCGGCAGAGCCTGAGTCTCTACTCATTTCTGGGCACTGGGCAGAATCTTGGACCAACCAGACTGAGTCTGTACTTGCCCCTTCAGCCAGGCTGGTGCCCCTAACAACTCAGAGAAGAGGGCGGTGCAGAGGTACCACTAGAGATGGGTTCTCACTATGTTGCCTAGGCTGGTCTTGAACTCCTGACCTCAAGCAATTTTCCCACCTTGGCCTCCCAGAGTGCTAGAATTATAGGCATGGGCCACTGTGCCCAGCCAGCCAACTTGCCATTATTGATGCAAAGAAACATTCCCCCAACTCCCGTTAAAACAGAAGAGGATGGTGGCTCATGCCTATAGCCCCAGCTGCTTGGGAGGCTGAGGCAGGAAAATTAATAGAGGCTCCGAGTTTGAGACCAGCCTGGGTGATAGAGTGAGACCCCATCTCTAAAATAAATAAATAAACACATAAACAAAAATTAGAAACAATAGAAGAAAAGAGTGAATTGTGGCCCCCTATGTAAAGAAAATTCCCACTTCTAATAAAGTCACAGCTCCATTCACCCTTAACCTTGGAAGGAAACCTGGAAGGAACGACAGCAGTCAGCTGCTGCTTCTCAGTGAGGCTGACCCACTGGCCTTTGAGTTAGAGATTTGCCATGCTTATAGATAGATTTTTTTTTTACAATGAGTGAGTTCTGCTTTAAATTCAGAATAGGCCAGGCACCGTGGCTCATACCTGTCATCCCAGCACTTTGGGAGGCCTTGGCGGGAGGATCACTTGAGGCCAGGAGTTTGAGACCAGTCAGGACAGCAAAGTGAGACCCCGTTTCTACAAGGAAATATTTTTTAAAAAAAGAGGGCCAGGAGTCCAAGGCACCCCGTGATGCTGACGCCTCCCTGCTGTGGAGCTGGCCCAGCTGCAGGCACCGCGTGACAGGCGGCCTCTCCCCACAGCGCTGCTGGCCCTCCTCTGCTTTGGGGCCTTCCTCCTCTGGAAGAACTGGCGGCTCCGGAGCATCAACAGCATCAACTTCGACAACCCTGTGTACCAGAAGACCACAGAGGACGAGGTCCACATCTGCCACAGCCAGGACGGCTACACCTACCCCTCGGTGAGCCCCGCTCCGGGGGCCCCACCAGCAGGAGGCCCGAGATTCCGAGGGAGGCCGGAGGGAGGTGGGCAGAGGCTCCCCGGGCCTCAGCGTGAGGGACAGCACTGGCGGGACCCTTCCATGAGCCATTCTCCTGGGTGGGGGAGGGCCTCGGGCCGTTCTCCTGGTGGGGCGGGCCTCGGGCCTTTGTGGCGAGAGGGACGTTAGAGAAGCAGAGAGCACGTAAGTCAGACGGTGCAGCAAAAGAAAGTCGGAAGTCCATGGAAGTGTTGTCGGTGCCAGGAGCGACGGGTTGCAGCTTTTAGACAAGGGAGCAGGGTGGGCTTTTCCACATGGGCAGCGTGTGGTGTGCTGAGGGAACAGCCGTTCAAAGGCCCTGAATGGGGGCTGTGTCTGGTGGGACTGGAGGAAGGGGGTTGGGCGAGGGGAGACGGTAACGAGGTGGGTCGTGCAGGCCCTTGTGGGCCACCGGGGATGACGTGGTTTTTGTCCTGACGGCTGTGGGAGCCATGGAGGGTTCTGGGCAGAGCAGGGCAGTGGCTAACTCAGGTGCTCACAGGCGCCCTCTGGCAGCTGCGGGGCTGAGGGCAGGAGGCGGCGGGGGCCAGGGTGGAGGTCGCTCCCTGGCCAGGGGAGAGGAGGGCAGCCTTGGGCTATGTTTCCTCATGTTGCCCATTGTTGACAGAGACAGATGATCAGCCTGGAGGATGATGCGGCCTGACCCCTCAAGCCTGTCCCTCCTGGGAACCTGCTGCCACTCAGGGGCAGGATGGACAGCTTTCTCCCAGACCCTTGACTGACCGTCCACCGCCCAGCCCAGAACCTTCCTGAGACCCTGATGGGCGCCTGCTTTGTGCAAGAACAAGGGACCGAGGCCGCACCGGGCCTGTCTGCCAGAGCTCTGTGTTATATATTTATTCCTCTGTGAGCAGAACAGGCGGGGGCGGCACCCAAGAAGCAGCTTTGCTGGGAATCTGGGGTTCTTTCTGGTCACATGAAAGAGGAAAGCCCTGACAAAGGGGTGAAACCTCCGTTTCTCTCCACTGGCCTCGATCCTCACACGGAGGCAGAGAGGACAGGGACTCGGCTGGAGGAGCAGGTGTCTTCGAACACAAGATGGCAGGTGCCACCGCTGACCCCAGGCCTGCCCGAATCTCAGGAGTCAATGTGTTTACCTCGACTGCACAAGCCTTGTGAGGCCGCGGAGTCAGCCTCAGCCTGGGACCCCAGGCCAGGCCCCACCCTGTGTCCTCTGAGCTGGTCTGTGCCTCCTGCAGCCGGGACGGTGGTGCTGCTGGTGTCTCGACGGGTCTGGGTGAATCCTGGAGTGGCACGGCCGAGACCAGTCCACTTGCCCGAGTCACCGGTCACTCTGCGTATTTATTAAGTGCCTCATGCCTGTGACCCTGCGTGTGGGACCTGTCACCTGTGCTCTCAGGCCTCCACCCCTCCCCTCCCGCTCCCTTGTCTTCTTGTACTCCCAGGGGTCCGTGCTGTGTCCTTTCAGCATGCGTCACTGTTTTGCGCTCTTCTGTCCTGGGTATCGGGAAGGGGTCCCAGGCTGGGGAAGGCCCGTGTTGGGGCGAGGGGGGCCATCCTGTGGAGAGGGGAGGGTGGCTGACCAGGACTTCAAAACCATGCCCGTGCATGTCTGGAATAGCCATTTCCTTTTTCATTTTGTCTGCCCAGCTGCTGGTTCCGCTCTGTGCACATGCCTCTGAGCCATTCATGTTCTCATCTTGTCCTGGTGGGAGCGTGTCCAAAACGTGTGTGGCACTTAGCAGCCTCGTAAGGAAACCTCTGGCTGGGTGCGTTGGCTCACACCTGTAATCCCAGCACTCTGGGAGGTTGCGGTGGGAGGATCACTTGAGCCCAGGAGTTCAAGACCAGCCTGGGAAACATAGCAAGACATCCTCTCTAGAAAACGAAAGTAGCTGGCGCACACCTATGGTCTCAGTACTCAAGAGGCTGAGGTGGGAGGATTGCTTGGGTGCCTGAGGTGGAGGCTGCAGTGAGCTATGACGGTGCCACTGCACTCCAGCCTGGATAGCACGGTGAGACCCTGTCTCTAAAGAAATAAAGCAAATCCTTCAGTCTGGGTCATTGGGTGGGACTTCTGAAACGGGAAATCCTTCTAAGATTGCCACAAACATGATTGCCGTATTGTCAGCCCAAGAATGGTGGCAGCCTCCCTTGATTCTTGAGTGGAAACATCAGAAAGGCCTCTCGACGGGTCACTGCCAAGGCCGGAATACTTCGTCTCATCCTGCAGGAAACCATGTTGTAAGGTCCCTGTACAGACAGCAGGGCTTGTTGTATGTTTGCACTGTGTATATTTGGGGAAGCCATTATTGCCGATACATGTGAATCTATTTATGTTTGCAAACCCTGATTGCTGCATCTGCTCAGCCACTGTACTCTGGGCTCTCTGTGGAGCCCACTGTCTCTGATACGCCATCTCTAAGGACCGAGATGACTCACAGGGACTGAACGGTGTGCTGTGCTTTCAGGAGGATCGTGGCTGCATGGTGCACACGGGCGGCTTTGGGTGCGGGTGTCACCGTGTCAGCCACCGTGTAGAAGGTTTTCTACAGCCTGGATGTCTCACTGTGATCGATTAAATTTCTTCGTGAGCCGTTTGGCTAAACCTAACGCATTTTCTTCCTCTGTTCTCTTCCATCCTGTTCGTGGGTCTGGAAAAGGAATGTTTTCCCAGAACTCAGTTCCTGGTGAGTGCTGTTATGCTGACCTGGTGATTTTATGCTTCTCTGAGTTGGAGGTTCCCCCCCCAGAAGTTTTGACTTAAAAAAAAAAAAAAAAGATTTGTATTGCCATCTCACTCTTGTCACCCAGGCTGGAGTAAAGTGGCATGGTCACAGCTCACCACAGCCTGGGGCTCGGGTGATCCTTGTACCACAGCCTACCTAGTAGCTGAGATTACAGGCGTGAACTGCCACACCTGGCCTGAGTTGAGGTTTTGCCACATACCCTGCTTGTCCGTTCATTCAAAAAACATTTATTGAGTGCTTACTGTGTGCCAGGCCCTGTTCTAGGCACATGGGACACTCCAGTGATTAAAAGAAATGAAAATCCTCCTGCTCTCACAGAGCTGCTATTTTAGGAGCAATAGATAACAAACAATGACTACATGTTGGAAGAACATTCCTAGAAGAGCATGGAACAGGTAATGAGACAGAAATGGTGGGCAGGGAGGAGTCTCTTATTTAGGGAGGGATCAGGAAGGGCTTCTCTAATGAGGTGACATTTGAATCCAGAAGGATGAGAAAGACCTGGCTGTGAGGATCTGGGGGAGGAGGGGCATTTTTGTTTGAAAAAAAATTGCGGCTTCAGATGCACACAGGTGTTTCTGAGGGACTTTTCCCCTCAGACCCTTACGCCCCTGTAGTGGTTGGTATGATAAAAATGTGACTATCAACTTCATCACTAGGAGATAAAAAATGGAAGCAGGGCATGGTGGCACCTACCTGTAGTCTCAGCTACTTGGTAGGCTGAGGAGGAAGGATCGCTTGAGGCCAGGAGTTTGAGACCAGCCTGGACAACATAGCGAGACCCTGTCTCTAGAAAAATAAGTAGATAGGTAGATAATAGAACATTCAAAACGAAAGAAAGGTATAAAAGGTATCACAACACAAATTGAAATAATTAGAAGTCCTGGAAAGCTGGCCTCAAATTCCATGGTGGTAGCACTGGGTTAGAGCCTTGGGCATCTGGACACGAGGAGGGTAGATTGCTGGAGCCCATCCTGGGCAACACACACACACACACACACACACACACACACAATTCCAGCATGGTGGTACGTGCTTAGAGTCCCCAACTACCTGGGATGATGAGGTCGAAGGATCGCCTGAGCCCAGGAGGTCCAGCTTGTGTGACAGAGTGAGACCCTGACTCAAAAAAAAAAAAAAAAGGAAATTCATATTTCAGAGTGACTCAGACAAAACAGTTGAAGAAATGAGGAAAGAGTTAAGGCTCACCTTTTGAGTTCCAGGTGTTTCTATGTACAACCTGACCCCTAACAGAGGTGTTTGAGATGACCTACCAAGTTAAGGCAAAACACCCACACATGTCTCCACTTCCAAAAGACACTAGAGGTGAGGTTGCTAATGTCTGCACTTACAGTTTTTAATGGCTCAGTTCATTACATCTTTGACAGTTAAATGAAAAACCATTAAAAATTATGGCACTTTCATCCCACTTTTATTTACCCTACCAAAGCAGGGCTGGAGGCGTGTGACAAAGGATGACAAGTACACTAACTGCAGACCTATGGACACATTCAGAGTCTAAAAGGGCATTTCCCCCCTTTAAATATAGAATCATCACCAGAACTTGCCTGAAACTAATAATTATTAACTGGGTTAATGGATTGCCCCAGAAAAGGCTATCTAGCATGCACGTAGACTGAGACCTTAACATTGTCTTTAAATAATTTATTGAGTCAGGCTTTCACTCTCTATTTATTTATTTATTTCTTGAGTCAGGCTGTCACTGTCATCCAGGCTGCAGTGTAGAGGCACGATCATGGCTCACCATAGCCTGCTCTTCCTGGGTTCAGGTGATCCTTCCACCTCAGCTGGGACTACAGGCATGCCCACCATGCCTGGTTCATTTTTTGATTTATTGTTGAGGCGATGTTTTGCTAAGTTGCCAGGCTGGTCTCGAAGTCCTGGGCTTAGGTAATCCTCTCACCTCAGCCTCCCAAAGTGCTGGGATTACAGGCGTGAGCCACCACACCC